ATTGCAAGAGAGATATTTAAAAGTTTAATGTAGATTTTTGTGTGTGATGAAACTACATTTTATAAAATTAAGGAACTAAAGATATACTTTGGCTTATGTTTTTGCAAGAGAGAGGATTGATTAAAGGGAAAATTTCATTTTTGGGTCCTTGACCAAATTTAATTAAAAAGAGGGATCTAGAAACTCTACAATTTCACTTCTATTCAAAGGTATTGAAGTGAAATTAATAGTGTTAAGGAAAATTATCTCATTGTTTATTACTTTCAATTGATTTCATTTTAAGTATTGTCATTATATTAACATGAGTTTTTTATTTCCTTACATACTATTGTTTATTACCTTACATTAAGCTATTCAATGCCCTACTATCTATTATTTGTCCATTACTTTCAATTGGTAATTTTTCCCAGCATTTTAATTTTACTTCTATACCCTTGGATAGAAGCAAAATTCTAGAGTTTTTTGAGCTCTCTTTATAATTAAGTTTGGTTAAAGATCTTAAAATTTGCATATCAATAAAGTCCTCATTCTCATAAAAATATATATATTATTTTTTTTATCCTAATCACAATTACTAATACACTTTATTATGTGTGATAGATACATTTACACAAATATATAAGTTAATAAATACAAAAAATAAAGTGGGGAAATTTTTTTACATATACTAGATTGCTTATATTTTGAACAAAGATTAATTAGGGGAAATGCTTATATTTCAAATAAGAGAAAATAGTACTCAATCTGTCCTAAATTATAAGACAAAGTTGGAAGCATATTATTATTCCAAAATATAAGAAAATTTTCATAAATAAGATTTTATTAATAATACCTTTCAAAGACTATCCTTAAGAATTTAAATGAGAATACAATGAAAAAACTAAATGTATAGAGATACTTTTAAAAATTTATAATTTTGTTTTGAAAAAATAAATTTGTAAATTATTGTGGGCAATTTGACCTTGGTGCTACGGAAAAAAAATTATTTACCAATATGCTATACTTTCAAAAATATTTCCTTAAACATTATAAATTTGAATGTCGATTTGAATCAAACCAAGTTTCATATTTTTTTAAATGTAAAAGTATAGAACTCGATTTCTGTCAAATCAAGTTGAGTCCTTGTACTTTTTTTTAAGAAAAAAAACATTTGATGTGGTAGGCATAGTAGGTTATACTTATTGTCCACTACTGGCTCACTCTAACAAATGATTGCACTCTATAGTTTATATATATGGAAAATAGGTAAGTTTAGTTTATATGGGCTCAGCCTTAAAGAGTTCAAGCTCATAAGTCAAGTTATCCCAAACTCTATCATTTTATGAAATCCAGCTCTTAGTTAAAGGGCTCAGAATCGGACCCATAAGCTTGTTTTTATTATTTTTATTTTTTTAAATTTTTTAAATTAAAATTTTCAATTATAATATTTCATATGTTTTAAAAATATAAGTTATAATGTTCAAAAATTAAAAATAAATAATAAAAATCCTTATATTAAAGTATAAATATATATTCTAAAATTTAAATTCAATTTAAAAATTAAAAATTTTTTAAGGGTAAAAATAGGGCCTAAAAGGGCTGCCCTAATCGTAGCCTATTTTTCAGGGCTTATCAAGCCAAGTTTCAAAGCCCAATTTTCTTAAAAAATAAATTTTTTCAAGCTTGAATTTTTAAAAAAATGAGTTTAAATGGCAGCTTGCCAAGTTCGATTCTTATTCTCAACTCTAATAGTCTTCCTTCCTTTTACCATGAGTTGTCCCTCCCCCCTCCTCTTGTGTGGGTGTGTGATGGATTTGGGTTGGGGTTTTTTTTTCGGCCAACATGTCTTTTAATGCTTATAAATAAAATAATATGATATTAATTTTATAATTATAATTAAGTTAAAATATACAAAACTCTCTTAAATTTTGAAACATGCCACAACACCACTCGTCTTTAAAAATTTAACATCAATCTCTTTAATCTATAATTTGTTTGGTAAAATTTTTTTTACTTTTTACCACAAAAGTCCCTACTATTATTTTTTAATTATTTTACTAACAAAAGTTGTCATGTCATATTAAAAAAAAGACATGAAGCTTGCATTAGGTGCCACATAAACTTCTACGTGTTTTTTTTAATACAACATGACATGACAACTTCAGTTAATAAGATAATTAAGAAATAATAGTAGAAGAATAATAGGATATCTCAATTAGTTAAAACCCTAATTAAGAGTATTCCTCTTATCATATTTATAAATCACTTTCAGCATTTTTATGAGAATAAAGGAAAAACTTTTAACCTCAGTAACTCTATTTAGAAATTTAATAAGATTTTAATTTTACTCATATTAAATGTACATACTTTAAAAATACAATGTTTTAACATTATATATATATATATATATATAATTTTATTTAAAAAATTTAATGATCACATCATTGTTTTTAAAACTGAACCGAACTAGATCGGTCAATCGGACTAGTGACTTGATGACCTGGCCATTTGTCTGGCCCAGTTTTCTAAATTGAAGTGTCCATAATTGACTCGAGTTAACCTAGGTGACCCAAGATTAACTTGGATCAACCTGCCTAACCCATGGGTTAGGTGGGTTAATATTTTTTTAAAAAAAATTGACCTTAAAACAACGTCATTTTGGGGGTTAGAATTTAAAAAAATAAAACATAAAAATAAAATCCAGTAGCCCTAAATGGTAATACTTCTTCGTTCACTTCGCTTCAATTTATCAAACAAAGTTGAGACTTGAGACCAATTTTTTAAAAATCAAATCGAACAATGAACCAAAAATATCAATGGGTCATGGGTCTCATGGTTCATCCAGTTAGACCGGTGGTGGAATCGGTGATATAATAATTAAATAAAAAATAATATTTATATACACATATATTAAAAAATATGTCAAAACGGTTCAATCACTTTGGGTTCCAAGTTTTTACTTCAGGTCTTTGAGAATAGCCTGGATCAAAGCTGGCCAACCCATATCAATTGTCAAAATGGGCCAAATGGTTGAACTAGACCGTTTTCTTCTTCGGGTGACAGTTCGATCAGTCCGACTGTCTGGGTCGGTCCTGATCTTAAAACATTGCTTGAGATAGAGTTAAGAGTTCAGTCAAATCTTTGGTCTTCCTTTCCTTCATCCTTCTACTACTCATTCTCCATCTTTGTCTCTTTGAGCTATTGCTTGAACCTCATTCTCTGTTGTTCACTCTTTGAGCTTTAAAGGTCTTGTCTTGTTGTTGCCGTCGGTCATCCACTCATCTTCATTCTTGAGAGTGAGCTTCAGCCTTCAATTCATCTTCCCATCCTCATGCTTCAGGCAACTGCTCTCTCTCCCTCCTCACTTGATTAAGGTATAACTTCTCTGTCCCCCTCCTCACTCGATCAAGAACTTTGCTAGCTTGTTGCTCTGTATCTGATAATCTTAATATTTCATTCCTTATCTTTCTGCTGGCTTCGCCTTTAATATCAAATGATTCCAAAGATTAGAGTATATTTGATTTTATGATCTTCTCCAAGACCTTGTTTTTTGACAAAAACAATTATTCAATACTCACCACGAAACTGTATAGCTTGATAGTCAGACTCGTCCCCCTTAAGAAAGATAATGGTCTCCATAAAGTTTTCTTGAGTTCATCATAAGTCACTGTTGCTATTGGGTTGCAGAATGTAGTCACTAGTAAGAAGAAGAAAGATAATGGTCTTTTTCCCTCTTTTGAAATTTATATGAAGTTGTATGTATTTTTTTTGGATAATGAAGCTGTATGTATTTGTATGAATTCGAAACGAAGTCGTGCTGCCTTCATTACTGTTTGTAAGGTGTTTAAAATATTTTGTACATATTTCTTTAAAAATTTTATTATGTTGCTTGATCTATTAAAAAAATCACAACATTTTTAATCATTATATACCCTTATAAATTTTTTAAATCGTATCTTTATTGCATTTCAATTACTTAAGTGATGGCTTTAATATATTTATGAATGGGAAGGCATGCATGTACTATACTATTTAGGACTGTTTGATTTTATAATCTGCTCCAAGACTAATAGCCGTGTTTGTTTAGGACTATTTTGTTTCTAAACATTGCATATATTTTTTGTCTTCAAGTGTGCTCAATCATGTGCTCAACCTTCGATATTTTTATGTATAATTTCACTGCTATAATTTGATATTAAGTACTGTATAATGTATTTTTATTTAAATTATTTTATTTTATTATATTATGACCGGTCTAATTTTAGGTTAACCTTTGATTGAACCCTGACCTCCAATCTTTAATCTCAACCAATTCAATGGCTGGTCCAATTTTCAGTACTTTGGGTTGCATGAAACAAAATTTTAAAAATTATTAATAATAATAACTTTTGTAAATCTTTGTAAACAATTAATAAAATATCAATACACACAATAAAGAAAACAACAATATCTATGCATCACTCAACAAGAAACGTAAGCCATGAGGGGAAGAGAAAGGAGAATTGAGCAGGAAAAATGGGACAGTGACGAGTCTAGCTTACAAGGCCTGTCACAACACTCCCACCCCTTTTTTTTTTTAATTGTAAGTATTGAGATCAAGTTCTGTATTTTTACGTTAAAAAAATTGAGACTTGATTTGATTCAAATTGGATTTCAATAGCATAATATACAAGAAAATATTTTTAAAAATACAGTATATTAAAAATAATATTTTTTAATACAAGATCACAGATAATTGTATAAGATTAGGTCCAATCAAGGCACATAAGTGTGTAATATTTAAATGAAGTATCTTCAAAGGTTGAAATGTTGATGTCATTCAAAGTTTAATGAGCCAATCGCACAATTATTAAATTTTTTAAACATATAGTTAAAATTGATAACCCAATCCCTATAATCGAAATGTTGGATTTTCTAAACAATTCTTTTTTTTTTTTTTTTTTTTAGCATCGTGGTCAAGTTGCCATTACTGTTTTTTATTGATACCTTCAACCATTTTCAACTTTTTAATTTGGTACGGACAGAGTAGATGGCTCGAAGAACAAGCGAAAAATGAACATATTTGACCTCAATGTCATCGTTTACCGGTAGAGTCTGCTCAAAGTGTCTGGGTTTTCATATTGTGACCTGGCGATGCGTGCATCCTGGGGCGTGGAATCGACGCCACAAGACCCAACTACAAAAGGAGGGGTTTTGACATCGAACAAGTTGTTTATGTATTTGTTCTCCCTTGCTCTCAAATAATTACCGCTTGCCTCTGGTTTGTGCTCTTTCAATTTCTTTTTTTCAGTTTTGTTTTTATCTCGTCTTTTTTATTGTTGATGTTGAGATTCTTGATTATTAGGATTCAGGTTTTACGAAAGGAAAACTGGTCCTGCTTGACATTAAAAGTAGTAATTTTCTTATTCAATTTTCCAAATGATAAGGAAAGGCATCTTGTTTCGTAGTTGTCAGTTATCAAATGGTTATTTGATTCAGGAAGGGAAGCGTGTTGGCATTGGTAGTTTTAAGTTGAGCTTGAAATTCCATGTTCAGTTTATAAAAAAAACATGTCTTGTTTTGCTCACTTGGTATGATGTGAGCTTCCCGGTAGGAGTAAAATCGTGGCCAAATATGGATGAGTGCACATAGGGAAGGAATTTGGCTCAGAAAAAGTCCAAGGAGTAACCATGATAACAATACAAGAATGTTACCAATGCTTGATAGATTAAGAAACTAAAACGTTTGGCAATGTCATAGATAGTTGTAATCAGAGATTGGCATTTGAAGATTAATCACAAAATTCATCTTGTTAGTTTGTTTCGTCTTTATATCTTAACATTGCTGGCAGTGGCAGATTTAGGATTTTAAATTAGCGGGGGCAATTTTTTTGTTGAAGTTCTTTTAAAAAATTAATAATATATATCAACTATGCACATTTTAAAGATTTCAGTGTGTACAGTATAGGTCTGCCCATGATTGCTGGTTTCTTTTGTCTCCAGGGAGTCATGGATGTCCCGTTGCCATTTGATAAGCTGGCTCTAAAACTAGTTGATGAAAAGTCTCTACATGAAACCATAAGCAAGTAAGGTTTTCTTGTGCTCTTCCATTTTTTTTGGCTTTTCTTTTTCTTTTCCCTCTCTTAATCTTTTGCATTTATGCTATATTAACATATGAACAATTCAGTGGCAAGACACATGTTGTTCTGGTAGCAACTGGAAGTTTCAATCCTCCCACTTTCATGCATTTACGCATGTTTGGTGAGTTGCTTGAAGCGCTTCAGTACTTTTGTTTATTTCCATTTGCTGAAGTTTCCACATTTATTGAATATTGCTTGCTTGGTGTTCTTAAAGACCCAATTTAAATTTAAGCAATAAAAAAGTCCCCAATCTAAATACTATATGATTCCCCACACAATGTTGGTCAAGCAAAAAACTTCCTTTTCATGCCCCTTTCCTTTTCTGATTTGAAGCTTCATATCATGAATGGTGGTGTAAGATACAATTTTTTGATTTTGTTTCAACATAGAAGCATGATCATAAACATAAAAGTTCAAATATTATTATTTAGAGCTTTTGATTGTAAGTATAGTAGCAAGATGCACAATATGATCATTATTTAGAGGGGTTTGGACTATAGAAGACTGTGGAAACGGATTTCCCTGCAAGAAGAATGGAGAATATAACCTGAATAAAATATTACAATTCCTTTGTCATTTATTGTTAAAGTATTCATTTAGCAGTAATTGAATATAGGTTTCATTTACAGCTATCAAGATGTATGCACATATTGCATACCAGAGTTGATGTTCTATCTATCATGTAACATATAAATGAAATAATTGCTACTGAAATTATAATCTTTCATGTGAGTTGGATTTGCACAAGAAGCAATTTAAAAGTTTGCTGTACTCTTGCATTCTTACTTCCTTAAATTATTATTTTCAGACAATATTTACTTCCTTAAATTATAATATCATGGCTTCTATTCTCTGAAAACAAAGTGGGAGAGAGGGATTCATCATTTGTAATTTCTCTTGTCAAATGGATGTATTATGTTGGTAACAAGCTTTTGTTAGACAATTCACTTACTGTTTGTAGAGGTACAAAATCTTGGCAAAGTAAAATCTTCACCATATCTTTCAGTTATTAGCCCTGGTTCATTGATGTAATTCCTTTAATTGTTGTATTTTAATTGTTAAATATAATCTGTTTTCTGCTTTTTTTTTTTTATAAAATATTTTCTCAGAGCTTGCAAGAGATGCATTGAATTCGGAAGGCTACTGTGTTATTGGAGGTTATATGTCACCTGTTAATGATGCATACAAAAAAAAGGTAATGTTAGAAAACATTTTTGAGCATTCTGCAAAACTATAATGGGATAATTAATTAGGGGACCTTCTTAGCTTTAATTACTATTTCATGGCATTATGAGAATCAATGAGCAGTCCTTTAAATATTTGAAACTGACCCAACTACACATTTTTAATCCTGCAGTTATAGTTGGAGATGTATCCTAAGATCTTCAATCTTAATAATCTGTTATCTGTATTTCTGCATTCTCCTTTCATGGCTGTAAAACGATCTAATTGCTTATCACATGAAATATTGATAAAGGGCCTTGTTTCTGCTGAACATCGGGTACGCTTATGTCATCTGGCCTGCAAAAGTTCAGAATTTATAATGGTTGATCCATGGGAAGTATGTTACTCTCTTCCTCCTGCACTAGATGTGTCTCTGTGTCCAAGCAATAAACTTTCATCTTGCAAAAATTCAAAGTTGAGAGATAATGCTATGGATTTTTTATGTTTAAATAGATCACGAAAAATGTGACAGAAACAAAGTTTTACTTGATCTTGTTTGGTCATGTTTTGCATTTTTATGCGGCTAAGACTTTTAGACCTTTCTTGCAGGCAACTCAAAGTACATATCAGCGCACTTTAACTGTTTTATCTAGAGTCCGGAATTGTATTTCCAAGGCAGGGCTGGTACCCAGAGGTGAGTTCTAGAAGCGATTCTTCCAAAAAAGCTATAATCTTACAATATCAACCTTTCCCCCCTCTCGGGTTGAAAGAAAAAACAATCTTTTGTTTATTGTTGAAAATTGAAACTTTAGTCAAGTGTATTAATGCTCACTGGTGATGGCCATTTATAATATACTGTTGATTGGACTAGGTGTTCAATTAGGAATGCTGTATATCATCATTTAAATAAGTGATATTCTTTCTACATTTTAAACTGTCTATCAAAATTTCAAATTTCATTCATGCCAAGTGTCTATTTAGTAGGCTAACATATTCAGTTCAGTATTATACTGAAGCTTTCAAAAGAATCAAGACTGACATATACGTTTATTGTTCATAAGTCTTGGCTTAGACTAAAGTGTGCTTTTAAAAGTTGTGTCCGCTTGACATATTTTTGGGTCTAAACCTAGGTTACTTGCCATGTGTGTTTCTGTTGATAATGTAGAAAGAAGTGCTAAAATTTGCTTTTGAACTGTATGATGTAGAATCCCTCAAGGTCATGCTCATCTGTGGTTCTGATCTCCTTCACTCCTTTGGCATTCCTGGAGTATGGATTTCTGAGCAGGTATTTTTTTAAAGAAAAAATTCAGTACGAGAGAAAAATCTAATAGCACTGACAATAAATTGGCTAAAACAATAGCCATCACTCTTTGTTGTGTCAGATTGATTCTGTGATGTTTATTTTGTTAAGACTGATAAGCTTATTAAGTTAATAAGTTTTACTTCTTGCTACTGATATGAAGTGATAATGGGCAGAATGATTACCTATACATCAGTGATTTTAACATCTCTGATTATTGATTAGGTTAAGGCCATATGCAAAGATTATGGAGTAGTTTGCATCCGCAGAGAAGCACAAGATGTTGAGAGGACTATCTCTGATAATGACATTTTGAATGAAAATCGGGTAATCATGCATCTTAATCTCCTCCTGTTTATTTTCTGGTGTACAAGAAATGAACACACACACACACACACAAAACCAAGGAAAGAAAGAAAGATGAGTAGAAATAAATAAAAAGAACCATGGCTATGTGATAACAACAAAATTGTGATAGGAAGTTTTTAAAAAGCCAGCAAGGTAAAGTTGAATTGTAAAAGTATCAGCATGTCGTATTTTATTAGAGATTATGATAACGAAAAACTTGAATTAAGAAAAAAAAAGATATAAGTCTTATAACAATTGATTCTGCTGGTCTCATTTCACGGAGATATATATATATATATATATATTAACTACTATAATTATAGCAGGCTAATATCAAAGTTGTGGATGAAATTGTACCAAATCAAATCAGCTCAACCAGATTAAGGTAATTCTGCCCCTTGTGTTATGCAAAATGATTTAACCATCGGGAGGCTTTTCCTTATTCATTGTGAAAACTTTCTTCTTGAAATTCAGGGAATGCATTGCAAGAAGATTGTCAATAAAATATCTGACTGTGGATGAAGTGATCGATTATATCAGAGAGCATAAACTATATTTGAGTTCAAATGGAAACTAAATATTGCAATGCATCGTATAGTACATGCTATTTATAATATTATATCATTTTTTCTTTAATAAAAACATAAGTGGCATAATGATTAGAAGTTTTGGGGGTGAATACAAGGCGTCCACAATGAAACAGGAGTTTTATCATGTTTAACATAAGGGATTGAACCAATTTAGTTTATTTTTGTCCAAATCTTTTAATCCATTCTATTTTCATCATTTCCCACAACCAAATGGTTTCTAAAAGTGGCAGTACATCATTAATCAAATGAATGGGGGGTTTTCGCTTGTGTTTGTAGTTTGTGCTGATCCTTGAGGCCAAGAATCTTTATTAGGGGGAGTGTGTATATATATATATTATCAGAATTAGGGGGAGTATATTGGTACATGAGAATTAGGAATAATAAATTAATTAGAGAAATTAAAATTAAAAAGATAGTTTGTGAATATACTCAAATATCTCTATAAATGAAGTTCTAATGGATGTAATCGCATCTTGTGAGTGATATTACAACCCGTTAATTTAAGTGTATCGGAAAATCTGATGAAAATATTTAGTTGAGGTAGCTATGCTCACTTATTTTTCTGAACAAAAATAGGAACAAAATGCAACTAACTGAAACAGTTCCTAATTCCTCTTCGGCACGTTTTCTACTTAAATAAGTCAGCAACAATTTTTGATCCTTTTTGACCCCCCGGTAAAAAATGATTTTGGATCCTTGTCAGGCAGCCATGATAAAGCAAGAAAGCATATAGTCAAGAGTCAAGACAGCATGCTAATAATTGGCTTTATACTCTGTTTGGATTTCCATTGATTAAAAATCAGATTGCCAAACATTCATATAGCAAAAGTCAATTTAATAAAAATAAATTATGATAATGAAATTTATATTTGAATATATATTTTTTTCAAAATTTAATTTAATAAATTGAAAGTTATTTAAATTATATATAATAAAAAGTACTTTTGAATGTATAATTATAAAAAATGTTAATTTTTATTATGTGTATTTTTTGCTATACGTATGTGACACATTAGGAATGTTTGAAATGCATGTGACAAAAATTTTAAATAATATAAAATTTGATATGTCAAATAATAAGGATAAAAAAAATATGAAGTTTGATATATTAGACAAAAATTATATAAATAATTCAATATTTTTTAATAATAAAAATTGATATGGTTAATTATTCGATCTATAATGTGTTATGTAGGTTACAGCTTAATTTTCAAAAAATTTTGTAAAAAATCAAAATCTTATTAATTTGATATGTCAAAAAGATACCTATAAATTAGCATTGTCATAGAAAAAATTAAGGAGATCATGTTTTAAAAGTACATTTTAAAAAGCTTACCTAAATCAAGTTGAATAAATCCGCTTTCAGGTCTCATTTTTTAATATACTTTCTGAAAATCACTTTGGATAAAATTTATATCCAAACAACATTTTACTTTTTGAAAGTGTAAAAGCACTTCTTAGATGTGAAATGTGAAATTGCCAAACGGATCCTTAATAGTAAAAGATTAAATCATTTTTAAACAAGGTTTGGAATTTAACCAATAATCAATTGTCACAATGAAAAAGGTGTTATAACTCTTTTAAGTATAAGATTTTGAGTCTGAATTTATATAAAGACAAAAAATTCTTTTAAAAAAGTTACATTCAATTAGATATGGTAATATTTGAATCTGACTTAATTAAATAACTATAATTTTTTTTTTGGAAATTTACGTCTTATAATACATTTCCTTGACTTACCAATTTCTTAACTCGACGAAAGGTTCAGCCCGCAGCAAAATTCTTCGGGAAAATCACTACAAAGTCACTAAGATTTTAATTATCACAAGGTGCCATGAAATGTATGAATTACTCTGAAGTCCCAAATTTCTTATTTTGTATTTCTATTTCATATATAATTACTAAATTCATTAGTTCTAAGATTTAACATTGATAGAACAGTTTTACCACCAATGAGTCCAAGCACTTCATCAACATCGCTCACAAGTTCATTCTTCCAAATGCAGAATGGATCCAATCCAGAGATGCTTATAGAATATTTCTTAGTCCATCCCCATCTTTCCTGATGTGCACCTATACGCTCCTCTATCACCCACAAATCAATCAAATCACTAAGTTGATAAAGCAGGGCAAGTTTGTTCTCATAGGCAATCGGTTCAGCATATGGATGAGAGCCCAAATGAAGCACTAGTATCGATGTAAACAGTTCAATTGCTATATCAAAAGATACTAGCAAATAATTATCACTAAAGAACTTTAACCCACGCCAAAAGAATAGCTCCATTGGCAGTGACAGATTCAGAATCAAAACTTATATTCTCTAATAAGCTCCCAATTTCTATTTTCTTCCATCTAATAAACAGTATTGCCAACCCCAGTGTAAGTTCTCAATATCTTGTAATCATTAACAGTTGGACTATACCCAAATCCTACGGAGAAATCACCCTCAAAATCATAAGCATTGCCGGGCACCTGTCTGATCTCTCTAATAGCTGGATTCCATGACAAAAACGAATGAATTCCTATGTTTAAGACGTTCAGAACTCCTCCGGCCAAAAACAACATAGTGTTCGGCACAGAGCAACCTGTTACTGGAACCGACGATTGTAACACGCGATAAGGAATCGATCAAAGGTGGGTTTTGAATTTCAAGGACTTGCATCTCGCGCTCGAGCAAAGCATAAATGAAAAGGATCATCACTAACATTCATTTGAAGAAGAGAAGATTTTTGAAGGCTGGAGCGGTGGAGGTGATCCTCGATGAAACATGGGGTCTTTGTGAGATTTTTCAATGTTTACACACACACTAAAATCGATTTAGGAATTTTACTGGAAGTCGTTTGAGAATGTTGATGATGATTTCTTCGGGAAGATATGGTGTGTAGCCACACACCATCTTCTGCTCCATAGTGTTCGATTGGGAAGAACCCAGAGCAAAGCAATCGATTAATGAGCGGTAACTATCAGCGATTGCAGAAGATGTAGGTAGAACCAAACTGATTAATGCCCAAAATCCACCTTTTTTAAAAAAAAATTAAAATGGAACTTCATTAATCAACAAAAGAAAACTACCTCAAAAGAGAGCAACGGAACAGAAACATCCAATACATCAACCTCCACTTTCAAATGCTCACAAGACTTTGGATAGCTTTCATTATGGACTTCTACATATAGGCTTTTGAAGATTTATTAAAACCAAACAACTTTTTCCTGCCACCAAGAGTTTTTGAAAACGACCTCAATTCCAATTTTCTTAGCAGTACTGTGTCATCGCCCTAGCTGTTACTATCCATTCATTTGAAAATAAGCTGAGATACCCAGAGAGAGAGAGAGAGAGAGAGAGAGATTGTATCAAGTGGTATCCTCACAAATAAAAGGATCTCCATCAAATCAAAACACAAAATATCTGAAGCATGTATCACACTAATTAAACCAGAAGTCAAGTTTGTAAGGGCGACAAGCTTTGCACAACGACTGAAATCTGTGAGGGATCTTAGCAGGTTTTTCAAAATATCTAAATAATATTGTGGGACAAAAGATCTTGGTCATCCATTGAGGTCTTCATGGTGCTAGAGGGACGACGGACATTCTCATATCATGGCGATGTGACAAAATCAGGTCTGGTGTACCTGAAATGATGAGAGAAAACAATTATAAAGAAGCTGGGGTTCAAAACCCAAAATCATCTAAATATTTGTCATAACAATAATAGTTATCTTTATGTTTGCTTCATATCATTATTGGAATGTATTGCAAATTATAACTTTCCACTCCCCCCTCTCCCCATTATATATATATATAATTAGCAAGGAACATAATCATGGCAGAACTTTAAGCTTTCGATGTTCACCACAGACCTCTTAAAATCAACTAAAGATTAATATTCTCAAATCAAAGGTTCATGCATTAATTTGCTTTTTCCCAAATATTATTGATTTTTCTTTTCTTTTTCTTTTTCCAAATTTCAATCATCGAGCAATATTACCACATGAAATGCATAGCTTCATCGAATCTGCCTTGCATGTTTGTTTCCGATTGCCCAAGTCTAGAACAAGCATGTGCCATAGATTTTGTCTACTAATGAAACAACAAACAAAAGCACATGCAAAAGTTTCATGTGATAGTTTCACTTCTCAGTTGGAAATTGATTCTATCGTGTTTCTGTAGAAAATTTTAGCAGAGTTTAATCCAGAAACATGATTTTTCCAATTTTGTTTTTATGGGCAAGTCCGCAAGTTGATGTATTTTAACCTCATCTTTCATCCAATCATGCATTAGGGTTCTTATGAGCATGAAAAGATACGCATAAGATAACAGAGACTTTGTATTGAGAACCACACAGCAAGCTCATTGAAACTAGTGTTCTCATCCACCGATGATCCGCAGGGCATACAGGCTCTCTTGTAAAGTGGAAAACTGCTTATGCAAAAACCAGTTTATTTGATTCATCTTCTTCCACTAGATATGAAATGAAAAGGCCACAAACTTACTTTCCTTTCTTGTCAAACGATGAAATAAAACCAATGGTATATCACATGCACGATAAGTTCCAATCCGTACACCAATAACTAATGTATTATATATCCATATTTGAAAGAAAACAAAAAAACTTAGTACCATAGATAAGCCTTAAATAAAGCTAAAAACATCTGGAACTAAATATAAGTATTCATCATTCTGGATAATATCTATTAAGGACAATGAGAATTAAAAGAACAAAATGATTTAAACTTTTAAGGGATCATTTCAACCAAAACTGCTTAGACAAAATAAACCTACAAGGTAATAATTAAGATTTAGGATCAAACCTCTTGAATGTTGATACTGTCAATTGTTAAAAGGCTTGCTGCATGATTGAAAATAGCTGAAAATTCATTACCACATCTGCCAGTAGCAATCTTCTTCAATTCATTAGTTCTAAGATTTAACAGCGTTAGAACACTAATCACTTCAGTGTTCTCTTCACTTGCAGTTTGACTGCTGATTCCAAACATTTCATACATTTCATCCACTTCAAAGTTCTGTTCACATTCAGTTTCACCCATGAGTCCGGACATTTCAATAGCATTGCAGACAAGTTGATTCCTCCAAATACATAATGGATCTATCCTAAAAATACCTGATGGATGCTCCGAGTCTGTAAAGGTGATTAAAGAATGCTTCTTAGTCCAACTCGATCTCCCCTGGCGTGCACCAATACCTTTATCACCCACAAATCAATAAACCAAGAATCAGTTGTAAAAGATACACCCTCTATAAAGTGAGAAATCACAGCAAGCTTGTTCTCATATACAGCAAGCTTATGGCCAGAATACTTATGATTTTTGTCTAAAGGAGGCATCGCTATCAATGTAAAGGATTCCATTGCTATGTCAAATGAAACTACCAAATCCTCCTCCGTATCCAGCTTTGACCCAAGCCAAAACATTGTTCCATTAGCAGTGACGGAATAAAGATTTACACCCTTTAAGGTCCCACGTTTTATTTCCTTCCATCTCTGCGTGCTTAATGAATAAACTTCAAGTCGATCAACCTCATCCTCTTCTTCAGGAATATAAACTCTCAATATCTTGTAATCATTAACTCTTGAACTGAACCCATATCCTACATGGATACAACCGTCAAAATCATAAACATTGCTATGCACCTGTCTGATCTTTCTAATCGCTGGATTCCACAAGAAAAGAGAATGAATTCGATGACTAGAACGTTCAACACAGAGCAAGCCATTGCTGGAACTGATGATCTTAACACTCAACAAGGAATCAAAAGGAATGTTCTGAACTTCATAGAGTCGCTTCTCACAGTCAAGCAAGCATAAGTCCAGAGGAACATCTCTGTCTCTGCCATTCCGTTGGAAAAGAAGAGAAGGGTTGTGATAAGTGGAGTGGTGGAGGTGGTCAGAAATGAAAGATGGGGTCTTGATGAGATTTTTCCATTGTTTGCATACACATTGAAATCGCATTAGGGATTTTACTGGAAGTCGTTTGAGAATGTTTCTGATGATTTCTTGAGGAAATTGTTTGTTTCCATCCACTATCTTCTGCCTCATAGTGTTCAACTGGGAAGAACAAAACAATGAGAAAGAATGGGTTGGTGAAACAAAGAAACAGATTTTGTATTGTGCACTTCACAAAAAAAAAAAAAAACAAAAGAAAAGAAAAAGAAAAAGAAAACCTCTTCACAGATACTCTTCTGAACTACCAAAGATCCAAAAAGCGCACACCCGCTTGCAAGGTGGAAAACAACTTGCATAATCCTAAACCCTAAACTTTAAATTGACAATCCGAATTCCTAACGCACAACATGGAATCAATCAAAGGTGGGCTCTAAATTTCAAGGACTTGCATCTCATAATCCTAAAACAGAAATTTGATAGCAAAACAGAAACTCAAACTCATTATAGCACCTACCGCACAAAATAATAAGGAAAACTCCAGCCCATTATATCAGTTCTCTCTTGATTGTGTCGTTTTTCCATATCTCAGTCACCTATGATGTTCACACTTCTCAGTTTGAAATTGATTCAATTGTGTTTCTATTGAAAATTTTAGCATGCTTTCAGTTTACAGGCTCTCTCATAAAAAGGAAAGTTACTTGCAAAAAACCAGTTTATTCGATTTATTTTTTCCCCTAGAAATGAAATGAAAAGGCCACAAACTTTTCATTCCTGTCAAACAATGAAATAAAAACGCATAAGAATTACAAACACAATAAGTCCCACATAATTCATATACCGGCAAGTAATGCATTATATATCCATATTTGAAAGAAAACTGAACAACTTCGTATCATAGATATGCCTTGAATAAAGCTAAAAACATCTGGAACTAAACATAAGCATCCATCATTGCATGTAATGTCTATTAAGGTCTATGAGAATTATAAGTGCAAAATGATCCAAAAGTGCTCAGATAAATCTACAAGGTAATAATTAAGACTTAGGATCAAACCTTTCGAATGTGGATGCTGTCAATCGGTACAAGGCTTTCTGCGTGATTGAAAATAACTGAAAATTCATTATTACACCTTCCTGTAGCAATCTTCCGCAATTCATTAGTTCTAAGATTTGACAGACATAGATACACATTTAACACTTCGGCGTTCTCTTCAGATTCAGTTTCGCCAAAGGATCCAAACATTTCATTAACTTCAACGCTCTCTACAAATTCAGCTCCACCAAAGATTCCAAATATTTCATTCACTTCAATGTTCTTTTCACATTCAGTTTCACTAACAGTTGACATTTCATTACCGTTGCAGACAAGTTCATTCTTCCAGATACATAATGGATCTATCCTCCAAATACCTGATGGAAGCTCCGCATCTGTAAAGGTGATTAAAGAATACTTCTTAGTCCAGCTCGATCTCCCCTGAGGTGCACCAATATATTCCTTCATCACCCACAAATCAATAAACCAAGAATCAGTTGTGTATAAAAGAAATCACAGCAAGCTTGTTCTCATATACAGCAAGCTTATGGCCTGAATACTTATGACTTTTGTCTAAAGCAGGCAGCGGTATCAACGTAAAGGCTTCCATTGCTATGTCAAATGAAACTACCAAATCCTCCTCCATATCTAGCTTTGTCCCAAGCCAAAACATAGCTCCATTAGCAGTGACAGTTCCCGAATAAAGATTTAGACCCTTTAAGTTCCCAAATTTTACTTCCTTCCATCTCTGTGTGCTCAATGAATAAACCTCGACTCGATCAGCCTCATCCTCCTCTTCAGGAACATAAATTCTCAATATCTTGTAATCATTAACTGTTGAAGTGAACCCATATCCTACATGGATACGACCTTCAAAATCATAAACATTGCTGTGCACCTGTCTGATCTTTCTAATCGCTGGGTTCCACAAGAAAAGCGAATGGATGCGATGATAACTAGAACGTTCGACGCAAAGCACGCCATTGCTGGAACCGACGATCCTAACATGCAAAGAGGAATCCAAAGGAATTCTCTGAACTTCATGGAGTTGCTTCTCGCAGTCGAGCAAGCATAAGTCCAAAGGAACATCTCGATCGCTGCCATGGCGTTGGAAAAGAAGAGAAGAGTTGTGATGAGTGGAGTGGTGGAGATGGTCTTGGATGAAGGACGGGCTCTTGATGAGATGTTTCCAATGTTTGCAGACACATTGAAATCGGATTAGGCATTTTACAGGAAGTCGTTTGAGAATGTTTCTGATGATTTCTTGAGGAAGAAGTTGAGTGTCGCCATGCACTATCGTCTGCTCCATAGTGATGAACTGCGAAGAACAACCTCCCGCAGGGAACTATAACTACTAGTATTTGGAATTTTGCTGGGACCAACAAAAAATTAGGGATTACGACTTACGACTATACGAGAGATATGGTAGAAGGAGATGTGATTTTATTTTAAAAAAAAAACTTTTTTCAAAATTTTTGTGAAAATTTGAAAAAAGTATTTTTAATCAATAAATCGGGTTTTTTTTTTTTGCTGACATGAATAAATCTATAAATCGTTAAATAATAAAATAATTACTAAATTTGAAATTTAAGTATAGTTTTTATTACACATTAGTCTTCTCAATATAAAAAAAAAAGTAGAGGATTACAAAATTTAAAATTTGTGTATATTTTTTTTTTCGGAAAATTAGTTTCAGAAAACGAACTTTTCTTCACTATATTATTAACCTACTTTTAATTTTAAAATCCACACGTTTTTAATCTTATTTGATAAAAATATAATAAATATAAAAGTTTAAGTATTTAAATTTTCTCATTTTTTGTTTGGATTAAATTGAAGGATGTAATATAATTCTTGTTATAATTTATAATCTCTTATGGGATTCAATTTTTTTATATAAAATATAAATATTTCAAGTTGGCTTACAAAATTAAAAGAAGAAAACTATAAGGATTGAAGGACAAATTTTTCCTAAACAATAATAGCAACAGCAACCATAGTTGAAGTATGTTTTTATCAATAATCGGTTTTTCATAATATCTTTAAATACTTAAATATTTAAAAAATACTTAATTTGATCAAATGTTTTAATATATGATGGTTTTATTATAAAAATTATTGTAAATTTAATTTTTCTTATCTAATTTTGAAGAATCAATTTAGAATAAATAACGATGTTTCATTTTCAAGGATTTTTATTATTAATTAAATGTCTATATTATTTTTATGAGAAATTCAAGTAACCATTAGCATTAGCTACGCTTCAATTCAAATGCTATTACGTAATAATTGCATTATTTTTCTTTATTTAAATAATAGCAATTGCAATTTTCGGAACTTTTGATTGTGTTGATATTATTTTTTTTTTCTTCTGTTTTTAGCTGTTTTTTAAGTCTCATGGCAAACGATTTTTCTTCTTCTTCTTCTCAATTCTTTTTGCAACGGATCATGGCCACCGAGTGTATCATATCAGATACGATGGCCAAAAATCCGGAGAAGTTTCAATAGCTTGAACACCATAATGATGTTGAACCGCGGAGGTTTTTTTTTTTTTTTTTGGGGGGGGGGGGGGCTGAATCGTTGAAGTTTGTTATACATTAATTTTCACAATATCCCATATAAAAAGTAGAGATTACTTTTGCTAAATTATTAAATATAAAAAATTTTAACATATTATTTATATAATTCCTATTCTTATTAGTAATAGAATAAAAATATAATTTCAAATTAATTTATCTAATTGTAATTTTTATTTATAAAATTATTAAATATATAATAATCTAAAAATTTTAGTTGGCCAAAAGAAATCTAAAAATGTTAAATAAATATATTATTAAAATTTATTCTACTAAAATACCTCTTGTAAACAGTAACAGCTTCTTTTTTTTAAGAAAGCTTTTTAGATGTGACATAATTTCAATTGAATCCTAAAAAATCTGAAATTTCATTGCATGCTCGGACTATTAAAATGAAATAAATTCTTTTACTTGAATAGTCAAAATGCCCTTCAATTACAAGTCAACTTATAACTTTTACAAATAATATTAGTAGAATGAGAAGTCTAGTTATAGGTTTTACAAGTAATATTAATAAAATATATGTAACTTCTTCTTATTTTCATAATATTACTTGTAAAAACTGTAACTTAACTTGTTATTCTAATAATATTTTTTTATAAAAGTTATAACTTGACTTATCTTTATAGTACAATGTTACCTATAAAAGTTATAACTTTTTTTGTTATTGTACTAATATTACTTGTAAGACTCATAATTTGATTTGTTATTTCAATTTATTACTTGTAAAAACTGTAATTTAACTTGTTATTGTAATAATATTACTTGTAAAAATAATAATTTAACTTGTCATTCTAGTAATGTTATTTATAAAAAATATAACTTGATTTGTTATTTTAATAATATTAATTATAGTTGAAAGTTATTTTAGTTATTTAATCAAAAAAATTTATTTCATTTCAGTGCTTTGGACCTGCACTAAAAACTCATAGAACTAACCAACTATTGAAACCAGAGGCATATATGTTTGACTAATTACTTTTAAATTAATAACTTAACCTCTGTGATTGTGGAAATTCTGTCTGTCAATTATCCATTTTGTATATATCATCTATATTTTAATATTTAATACCTACCATATCAATCAAGAGAAAACAAATGGTACAATGTCTAATGGTTCTTATTCTTAGGCTTTTTGTCAAAGTTTGTTCCTTTCTTTTTTCTTTTTTGGCTAGCAAGAGTTTGCTCTTTTTCTAAAAAACACGTTGCAAGATGTGAGATATTTCTATAAGGTGATTACTTCTTTTTTTTTTTCCCCCTCCGTGCAATGCATGGGAGGAAGCCATTATAGGCATTGATCAATATTCATTCATTTTTTTTTTATTGGTGTTGTGTTTTATATTGCTGTTAAGCGTGTAGAGTGGGGAGCTGGGTTTTGACCAATATCAATCACTATAACATTGGTACTGATACAATATAACTTTTGGGATTAAGACAAAAACTAAGTTTAGTTGTCGAAGTTTATATGTTTAATAAGAAATCAATAGTAAATTTTTGCACATGTACCTAAGATTAGATTAAAAAAAAATTGGGTTATCATAAGAGTTTGTTGTCTACCAGTTAAAAGCCACAAAATGCAATCACATCACAACCAAATGTAATGTCAAAGATGTGTCCAAAAAGTCAAAAAGTAAGTCTGAAACTTAATCACAAGTAACCACAACTTAACACCCGTTTAAATTTTAATTGAATACAATTAATTATAAAAATAATTCATTAATATAATTAATTTTAATTATAATTAATTATGTTAATGCAATCTGTTTAAATATTGTGAATTTTAATTGAATATAATTAATTATAAAAATAATTTATTAATATAATTAATTTTAATTATAATTAATTATTTTAATGCAATTTGTTTAAATATTGAAACTGATTTCAACAGTATAAATTATCATAAAGAATATTATTTTTAAAAATTAAATTATTGATAAAATTAAATTTAATATTATTAAATTTGTTAAACTTTATTTAAAAAGTAAAATATATTATTTAATAATAAAATTAAATCTATAAGCAATAAGAGTTTATTCAAAATATAATTCTAGCTCAAATAATTAATTATCAAGATTCTGGCTGTTTTTTTGGTCTTTCCAAACAGATTGTCAGATAAAGTTCGATCCACTTGAAGAGACCCACATGACAAAGTTGCTAGTAAAGTCACTGGGATCAACCTCGCTAGTCTTACAGGTGATGATCCCTTCATGCTTGACTTTGGATATTATGAATCATATATATATTTTTTATTTTTAATAATTATATAAGATACTCTCTTTATTAAAAAATATAAAATATTTTTTAAAAAATTAAATATTTAAAAATATAAAGCATTTTTAGTCTTTTGAGGTGTAGTTATTGGTTTTTTTTTTAAAGTATCTCTATTGATGAATGATTTTATATTTATTATAGGGTATTTAATAGAGGTAAATATGAAAAAATAAAGTTAGTTTGAAAGTAGTTAATTATTTTATTGGAGAGTGAAATTTTATTAAAAATACTTTATATTTTTAAATGGAGAGAGTATTCAATATAGGTTTTTTTTTTCCCAACAATGTTACTTCTATCATTTTATCCCTTTATTGTTTATCTTTATGTTTCTGTTCAAATTTGTTGCCATTTTTTATTTGTTCTTGCTTTAATTTATTGTGGAATTGTTTGGGTAGAATTATGGAGCAACAACTTATTGCTGCATTTTTCCAATCAATTTGAAAAGAAATTTTAGGGCCCAATTCTATATTGTTGAATGATGAAAGTGATTGATCTGAAATTGTGCCATTAATTTTTCTTATTCTGACATTACTTGACAATGTAGCTATTCAAATGGTGCCAACGCAGATATACTTAGCTAAGAGAAACATGATAAAAATTTTAACCATGGTGGTTGATATTGCCATGAATGGGAGCCACGTAGGATGGACATGTCATCTCTTTTGTTTTTTTTTTTTTTTTTGCGTGCAAGTTTTGGGGAGATGGTTGACAAACTTGATCTCAAAATTTACTTTGCGAGAAAGATATCATGAAAGACCTACTAAATTAAATTAAATGGAGATATTAGTCAAAGTAATTTCGTTCTTCCTCATTTAGAAAAACTGAATGGTTGCTATTTATATATTTTTATATATACGCACATTGTTTTAGCTTTTAGCAGTGGCTTTTTAATCTTAAAAGTCGCACTACTATTATCTTGTTTTTTTTATCTATATTTATTGGTATGTGAGTGGTGAGAAATTTTGTGAAATATAGTTTTCAATTTTAAAAGCTATCATTTTTTTAATAATACTGAAAACATGCATTACAAATAAAAAAGAAAAAGGTTACAGCTCATCAAGAGGTGAAACTCTTTGTCATGCTTCCTTTTCCAGTTTTTTTTTCCCCTAAATATTTGCTTTAACTTTTAGCTTCTCCTGCGGTACAGGTCAAACTTGCGCTTCAAACCATTAATTATGACATAATGACATAACGTGCATATATGTTATTCATAGGGTTAGAAAACTGGTGGATCCAATTTATATGGACTCCACCTTTAAGAGTCCAATTCTTTAAATTTAATTTTTTTAAAATATTTTATTTTTAAAAACCCTATTCTTATATAAAAGTTCAGGACCAGACTTATAAGCTTTTATTATTATTTTTTATTTTTCAAAATTTTTAAAAATTAAAATTTTTAATTATAATATCTCATATATTTTTTAAAAATATAAATTATAATATTTAAAAATTAGAAATAAATAATAAAAATTCTAATTTTGAAGTATAAATATATATTTTAAAATTTAAATTTAATTTAAAAGTAAAAAATATTTTTTTAAGAAAAAAATAAAAACAGGCCTCAAAGGGTTGCTCGAACTCGAGCCCATTTTTCAAGACTTATCAGGCTGGCCTTAAAAGCTCGATTTCTTTTTAAAACATCATTTTTTAAGCTTGAAATTTTATAAAAATGGGCATAAATAGGTGGCACTCTAAGTTCAGTCTTTATTCCCGACTCTATTCACAAATGGAAGTGTAGAAGCTCTATTGAAATTGATGTGATTGGTCACTGTAGCTATGTTATTCTCCTTCCGTCCCAAATTATAGGATATTTTTGAAAGAGTTTTTTCATCTCAAAATATAAGATACTTTGGGTAAACTAATATTTCAGTAAATGCATAAATTTTAATATTACTTTTTCTCTTTCTATAATAAATTTTTATCTCTTCTCTTTTCAATATATTAAATGATGAGTATTTTTAAAAGTTTATATTTTTATTTTAAAAAAATAAGGTTGTTAAGTATATTTAATAAGATTTATTGATATATAAAATTTTATCTAAAAATATTTTATAATTTAAGATAGAGAAAGTACTTTGCATCAGGTGATAGCCAAATATTAATGACGCAATGGGATTTCTAATTTATGAGTAGAGGATTTTTTTTTCCTTTCCCTTTTATTGTCTTTATCAAGGTTGAAGCAAAAGCGCACCAATGTATATATTTATAATTTTTTTGGGGCTTTGAAATATTATAATCTATATTAATCAAAATATTTTTACTCATGTTATGATTGGAAAATCTTCTCATTTTAATTTTTTTCAGTTATTTAAATTATTAATATCTACTCCCTTTGGTCCTAGTTGTAGGGCAGAAAGAGAAGAATTTTTTTGTTCTCTTTATAAGTCACGTCATTAAATTTTTATTATAATTTTTTTTATCCTCCATTAAATTTTGAAGAGAAAAAATATGTTATTGAAGTATGTATATTTAATAAGGGCAAAGCATGAGTTTTAAATTTTTTTAATACTAATAAAACATATCAAAAATAATTAAAAGCAAAAGAGTGTTTGATTTGTTAACGTCACTTGGAAGTCTTGAATTATCAGTTTTGAGCTATCAAAAGGTTTTTTTTAAGTAGGGTTGTAAATATTAGATCCCTTGACATAGAGCATCGGGCTTCTAGGAAACACTTGGGTTAGCCACAATGCCATTCCAATGTAATGGGCCTATGATATTTTTCTCATTCAAAAAAAAAAAATATATATATATATATATATTACCTTTTGTTGAATTTCTTTTTTTCATCAAGTATTCACTAGTATTGATATGAATTTGTCTTTTTGTGTTATGTTTTTTTTTTTAAATTATAATAGTTTTCATATAACACTAGAATTTGAATTCTTTAATAGATCTAAAAACATTTCATGAATTTTTACTATATTTATTTCACAAAACATGGGCTATTATGTTTGACTCTTTAGATATCATCTTAACTTATATATTCAGAGCTTTTACTAATATTAAAATAGATTCCCTTACTATTTTTTTTATTTGGAGTTCTCTTCTATTTTATTAGGCATTGTTTTAAAATTTTACTTAGTCCTAAATATAGAAATAAAGATTTGGTAATTTAATTTTTTTTTCTAAGGTGATCCCTCTTTAATTCATCATGAGACTATAAATTCCTTTTATATTTATAGTGATTGTGAATTTTTATGTAATTTTAATTGACACCAAAACAAAATATTTGATTACGATTCAAGTCTTAGAAGATAATAGCAAGTTTTTATTGAAAACATGAAATATAATAGTAAACTTGTATGCAAAGTATCCCTTTAATACTAATATAGTAATCTAATAAGTCTATATTAGTTAAATTGATGATAACTAATAATCAAAATTATTATGAGAATATAAAGGCTTTTAAGTTTTTATCAATGATTATAACTTTCTAGTGCATTGCACGGACAATAAAAGATATTTAAATCCAAATATAAGGGTGAAAATGGAGGGAGATAAAGGTATTTATGGTAAATTTAACATGTGTTCTCATATATATTATTTTCTTCCAATTTTCTCTTTCTTTCTTTTTTTAATTTAACCAAGAAAATATAGTTTTTTCCTGCTTTTCTCTCTTACCAAGGGTATGTGCCAAAAGGTACCTCATAAATACTGATATTATGAGACATGACAGACTATAGTGTATAACTTGTAGAGCATATAAACCAGCATATATTTGAAACTGATACACAAGATATAAATTATCCTGTTAAAATCTATTCATCTACACGACAAATGATTTTTCAAATTTCCTGAGGGGCAAGCGCATAAGTTGATATATTTAATCCCATCTTTCATCAGCATCATGCACTAGGGTCTCGCAGCATGATTGGATTTGCATAAGATAATAGAGACTTTGTATCGTGAGATGTGAGCCTCACAATTAGCATTCTACTTCTCCAATGCTCCCGAGAGCACATAGCCTCCACAAAAACAGGTTTATTTAGTTAATCTCTCAACTAGAAATGAAATGAAAACGCAACAAACTTATATTTCTTCGCTGTCAATCGATATAGTAACCGTTGATATATGAACAAGGTCAACAAGTCCCCATAATCCATACACAAGCAACTAAACCATTATATAATCATTAAACAAAGCTAGAAACATCTGTAACAAAATATCTATATTCATCATTCCAGATAACATCTCTAAAGCGCAAGGATTATGATTACAAAATTATCTAAATAGTCATGCGTTTAGTTTCCGAAGTTCTTAAAACTAAGAAAATCTGCACAATTACAATTTAATATCTAGGCTCAAGGTTCTTCAATGTGGATGCCACCAATTGGTACAAGGCTTTCTGCATGGTTGAAAATAACTGGAAATCTATCACCAAATCTGCGGGTAGTAATCAACCTCACTTTGTTAGTTTCAAGATTCAAAAGAGACAGAACATTTCTCATTCCCCATTCACTTCCATGCACTTGATCAACAAAGCATACAGTGTCATTCCTCCAAATACATGATGGATTCAACAAGCTTGAAAAGGTGGTTATAGAATATTTCTTATTCCAACTCCATCTCTCTTGAGGGGCACCAATACCATCATCCATCACCCACAAATCAATCAAGTAAGATTGAGAGTTTCTAGTCTTGGTGTAAGAAAGCAAAGCAAGATTGTTCTCATACACAGCAAGATTATAATATAGAGCAGAGTCAAGAGCAGGCATTGGTATCAATGTAAACACTTCCATTGCTATGTCAAATGAAACTATCAATTCAATATCATCTTCAGCCCCTCTTTGTGACGCAATCCAAAACATAGCTCCATTGGCAGTGACAGTTTCAGAATAAAGATTTATACCCTCTAAGTTCCCAGATTCTACTTCTCTCCATTGTCCTGAGCTTAATGAATAGACATCCACTCGATTAATGTCACGAAGATGAGGAGCATAAGCTGTCAATATTTTGTAATCACTAACAATTGGACTGTACCCAAATCCTATACGGATATTACCCTTGAAATCATAAACATCGCTAGGCACCTGTCTGATCTCTCTAATCGCTGGATTCCACAATAAAAGCAAAAGAAATTCGCTACCCGAACGTTGAAGACAGAGCAAGCCGTTGCTGGAACCAACGATCCTATCACTCAACATGGAATGGGTCAAAGGATGGTTCTGAATTTCAAGGACTTGCATGTCACGATCGAGCGAATATAAAAGCAAAGGATCACCTATGGCATTCAGTTGGAACAGAAGAGAAGGGTTGTGATGATTGGAGTGTTGGAGGTGTTCTTCGATGAAAGATGGGGTCCTGATGAGATTTTTCCAATCTTTGCACACGCATTGAAATCGGATTAGGGATCTCACCGGAACTCGTTTGAGGATGTTTCTGGTAATTTCTTGGGGAAGAAATGGTAAGTCGCCGTCCGTTGCCATCCGCATCGTAGCGCTCCTGTGGGAAGAATAAATCTCTCAGAAGAAAGCCATAGTACTGAACGGTGATTAGGGATTGCAGAAGATAGTGGCGAAGTGGAAAATCTCTTTTTTGGAAAAGAATTTTCGCAATGTAAAGTCTACACTATTGAAGTGACATTACCGTTTAAAAAAATTATCAACGAATTTATTTCTATTGACATTGGAACACTCATTGAAATTGGAAGACTAACACTTGTGTTCATCTATTAACCACTTAGATTTAGAATGATTTTATATGTCATATTATTTTTAATCAATCTTCACCTTACCGCATTAAGATGGTGAATAATAAAAGGAGATTGTCTACACACTTGACTTGACTACCTTGTAATTGCTTTTGATTAAGGATTTATTTTCATTAATTAAAGTCAATATATTAAAATATCAAATGATTATAAACAAAATGGGTCAGAACAGAAACTGAAAGCCCATGATAAAAGTCTTGCGAACAAAAATATAAAGAAAAACAAAACTAAACCAAATAGAAAACTAACACCCAACTGAAAACAAAGGAGACCCTGAACCAGAACCCCATGACCTACCCTGTAATATTTGTGAACATGCAGATGAGAAATAGTAAAAGCTCACTAACACAAGATAAGTAACCTCGTTAAACCCAGCTAAGAAAGGAGACTCTGTTTTCGGCTCACAAAACATAGCAAAACAGCGCTTATGAACAGGAGGACCAAAGGAAACCATAGAGTCATTAGTAACAGTGGCGGACCCTTCAGCAACAACGACGATCCCAAAATCCCAGTTAATTGGCGACGTCGAAGTCAGAGAACTCACTTGATGAAGTGTGCGAGAGTACCCATTCTCCGTTGCCGCTAAACTTAACTGATTTCCAATAGTAATGCCAATAGTGACATGTGATGTAATCCTTGAGGCAATCCTCAGCTTATACCTGCATACATATATTATATGGCAGTGAAGAGGTTTAAGAATTGGACCAAACGTTGACGACGCTTGGTTGAAATTAGACTCAGAGAGATGAGCATCAGTTGTTGATAATCTTAACATCTTCCTGATGATAGGATGTAAGGCCGTTAGATCCATCCAAAAGATCATCTTCTGATTGCAACTCTAATGAGATTGAATACTTTGGCTTGCGACTCCTAGAACCGTGAGCAGAGGACACGTGGATGATTATGTGATAGGTGGTGTAACATCCCGGAATTGAATTAATTAATTAGAGGATTTGATTAATTAATTGAATTGATTAGGGGTTAATGACTGGGATAGAAAGGCTATTTAAGCCTATTGGGCACCTAAAAAAGTTTAAATTAAAATTTTAGAGGGTTTAGACTGAATTGGGTTTAAATTTGGAGGCTTTACTGATGCTGTTTGTTTTGGGTTGTTCAATGCGATGAACAATATTTCTTTCCACTGCGAGCACTACAGGATTTTAATTCGAATTTGGCGTTCAAAAATCAGATTGGAGGAGAGCGTTAGGGTTTTATTCAGCAGATAAAATGTGGTGGTTTTGCCATAGGAGGTGACCGAAGCGAATGTGCTATTGTCCTCGGTGGGCTTGTGTGGAATTTTAGAAATAGCGGTTATGTCTCTTACCTGTTTTCTTTTTTTTCCCCCATGTTTTCTGCATAACTTCTCATACTCTGATTTTTTGCATTAAAGCATGGCTATGTTTTAAATTGATTTTTGGGGTCCCAGATGTAAAGATTGCTTGCTTCTAACTTTTAAGCGAGTCTTGTTAAACCATTGGCTACAGGTGGAGGAATTAGCAATTGACAAAGCTTCATCTTCATGCAAGTTGACATTTGGCCGATCCCAAAATGATGAAAGAACCACTTCATCAATGCTTAAAGTCCAAATACTTGAGTTGGTGGAGAAGTCACAAAAATGCTTCAAACCTGATCCCCTACACATGCACTCACTTCGTAAGATTTAACCACACTTTGAATTTTAATCCACAAGTAGAAAAAGGACTATCTTCATCATACTGAACAAAAATACCCAACTCGTTGCCAATAAGAGAAGCAGTAGCATAAGAATAAAGATCTATAGGCAAACCCATGACATGAACCCAGATAGGAGCAAAGAACTTTGAAGAACCCAAACATGACAAAGCTAAATTAACAAGAAACTATTACCAAAGTGCTGAATCACAGAAACTTTCCCCTGAAGATTCCAGTTTTGGTTAAGAAGACTTTGAAGCTTAGAAGGATTAAACTTTTGACGATCAAAAATCCTTGCAAAAGCATAATGAGAGTATCTCACCAAGACTGATCTTGAACATAAGGAAACCGTGATGCAGAAGAGGAAACAATCTTTTAGAGAAGGAAGAGCTGAGAAAACCCTCACCGACTTAGCGAGAGTATTTCTCCGTCAATCTCGTCCAACAGAATAAAAGCTGATAGAAGAAGAACCCGTGGTGAAGAGAGGACATCAACAGCGACAACGTCAGAAGACAATCAAAGGCGGGATGAAGACAATCAAAGGCGGCACCGAAAGTATTGATGATGACGGCAATACCTTATGGTTTCAAAGGGGAGAGAGAGCTGTCCTCATCCATGACCTGTAATACATCAAGTGGAAAATCTCTTCGCCCAATTATAATTTATTTTTTCATGAAAAAAATAAAAATAATTTTTTTTAATTTCTCAAATTTATTTTTTATCATTTTTATTCCTTAAATTTACTTCAATTATTAATTTAATTTATATTATTAAAGAGAAGATAACACGGTGTAAATTTATTAACAAAAATGAAAGAATAATGATAATAATAATGTAAATTAATGAAAATAGATGCGATTATTTAGAATTTAAAATTTGAGGAAGTATGTGTTAATAAATGAAATAAGAAAATGACACAAAATGCCTTTAACGAAATTCTCTTCCTCTCCCTCCTCTCTTGCTCCCATGCAACTTCTGGTGTTGTTCTACCATAGCTTGATGATTCCTACGACCAGTGATGAACTCAGGGAGGGTCCAGCAGGTGCTGTGGCCCCATGCTACAAAATTTTATTTATAATAAGTGAAATTTTGTTTATAAAAAATGATAAAATTAATTTTAGTCCCTTCATCTTTTGATAAAATTTCATTTATGGCCCCTCCATACAATCCCTACCTACGAGGATGACAAATGGTTGTGATTTTGATGGTGATGGTGATAAAGAAAAGTAAGGTCAGATCTTGATTTTGAAGATAATAAAAGAGAGAGTGAAAAAGGTTTAAACGCTAAGGTTATAAAGTAAGGTACCATTCTTTAATGCTTCTATTCACGTTTACGTTTTAAAAGCTATGCAATAGAATTTCCAAAATTCTCCATTTCAGTTAGATTGAAAAGTTATTTTAAAAAGTACAGTTGCACTTATAAATTATCTCAAATAATATTTTATATTTTAAAAGTAAAAAGTTACTTTTGAAATTTGAAACGATAGTTATCCAAACGGTGTCTAAGAGTGTTTGGATTAAAAAATTTATAATTAAGGTTGGAAATTAACTGAGATTAGTAAATTGAAGTTAGAAAAAAGTAATGTGATTTACGTTTGGATATTTTTTTTCAAAAGTTAATTGGATAAATTAAAATTTGTTTGGATAATTTAATTCAAAAGCCAGTTGAGATGAATAATGACCAAAATAGACATGAGTTTTGTTATATATATATATATTTTTTTTTGACTAGTTTGATATTTTTAAGAAAAAATTATTAATTTTAAAATTACAATTTTTTAAAAAATTAGATTACAAATATAAAATACATTAATTAGTCAAATATCTTAATTTTTAAAAAGGTAGGATTAAATAATAAAATTTGAAATATTCAAAAAAGCTAAAATAAATTCATAAATTATAAAATATTCAATTCACATTATCTACAATTTAATTTTAGTATGCAAATCTTATTTCATTCTAATCTTATTATATTTTCTCCCTCTATTTAATGTTTCACAAATAAAGTTATATCAAATGGAGTTTATTTTAATTAAATAATGAAATAATATTTTAATTGTTCTTCTTCCTTTACTTTGTATTAATTTATAAATTATAATTAAATATTAAATATCAAATAATGAAACACAGCAAGATCATCTTCTTCCTCCTCAACACCGAGCGCCACGCATACACACTTGAAAACACACACAGTGAGCACCTTCTTCCTCCTCCTTTTCCTCCTTTTTTTCTCCAAGCCTTTTGTTTCTTTCTTATCCTGCAGAGTCTCCACAAAACCTTTCAACTTCATCTCCCTTCTACACTACTTCCCTCCATCTGATTCTCCCTCTCCCCACCACCAGCATCATCTTCCTCTCCCACCATTATGCATTTATCGTCTCCCAGCTAGCGTGAAGAATGCGAGGGCAAGGTGAGAGAATATGGACCGAAGAGAGGAATTTGACAATAAATGCCTAGCCAACGTTCATAACGTGCGTCAAAAAAGCTTCCCTGTCTGGCCTCGCAATTAACGCTCGTTCTACAGCAACACTCAGTTCAAAAATCTTTTTATCCAAACATGTTTTAATCAGTTTTTTTCATCTCAACTGAAGTTGGAGTCCCTCTAACTTCAATTAACAAGTAATCCAAACATGCACTAAATTTATTTCAATTATCAATTTAACTTGTATTATTTAAAAAGAAGATAATACGATTAAAATTTATTAACAAATAACAAAATACTAATCACAATCATATAGATTAATGAAAAAAAGTGCAACTATTTAAGATTTAAAATTTGAGGAAGGACTAGTTAATAAATGAAATACCAAAAGACACAAATGCCCTTAACAAAATCCTCTTCCTCTCCCTCCTCTCTCGCTTCCATGCAACTTCTGGCGTTGTCCTACCACAGCTTGATGATTCATACGGCGATGACAAATGGTCGTGATTTTGATGGTGACGGCGATAAAGGAAAGTAAGATAAGGTCTTGATATTGAAGATAATAGAAGAGAAAGTGAAGAAGGTCTAAACGCTAAGGTTATAAAGTAAATCTGATGAGATTGGGTTGTTCAATTGGCCTTGCATCCTCCCTTCCCCGTGCCACCGCTACCTGCCCATTCGTTGTTGTGGTCAATTTCGAGTAGATGGACGCTCATAACAAGATTGGAATAGCGAGGAGCCAGAGATAGAAGAGAGATGGTTAACACAGCTTTTTCAGTCGTTAATAATGGAGGAAGGTGTTCGGAAATGGGTTGTAGACATTTCAGAGTGGGACCAGCTTCCCCTCGATTTCTCCTTTGATCTCTCTCTTCTCCCTTCCCATGATCACTCCTCCACTACTACGTTACACTTAGTTTAGGTCATAATTTCTTATTTGGTCAATTAAATCTAGTTAGTACAGTTTGCATTCGATATTCGGTAAAGAATATTGAGTTGCAAAAATTAAATGTGAGGAAATAAGTTCTGGTGGTAGGATCTTTGATATTCATAATCACATGGAGGAATCTTTGTCTTCCATTAAATTTTCTCAGCTTTCCTTTACTTGCATATCGCATTTTATTTGTCCAACCATTGCTTGTTGTCAGGGGTAAGTCACATTTGATAGAACAGGATATTGAATAGAATATAAAAGGGAATTGGTTTATAGATCTCATGACTTGATATCTCAAGACATGGTTTCTACTCCAAACTTTTGTACCTCCGAAAAAGTTGAGATATGGATTTTGATAATCCTAGGCTTTCAACATTCAATAATAAGTAGTGACGAACTCAAGGAAGGGCAAGTAGAGGCTGTGGCCCCCCCATGCTACAAAATTTTCTTTACAAATAGGTAAAAGTTTTTCAATGTGTGGTGGTGCATCAAAAATACCAATGGGTCTTGGATATTAGGCTTCAATTAAAGACTTGAGCATGTTTTAATTACTATTTCTAAAATCTTCAAGATTTATAAAGGCTTGGAGCTATGCTGGCTGAAACGTTTCAGGATTGTGGAGGTCTTTTGTGACTGTGTAAATTCAATATCAATGGTCACAAGGAATAAGCATAGTTATCATCCTTTCCAATATATCATTAGCTCTACTAGAAGACTTTTGTGTAGAAATTGGGCTGTAAACTTTAATTTTTTGAATCAGGAGGACAACAGAATGTTTGATTATCTTGCTAAGTCTGGTCATTATATGCCAAATGCTTTAAATTTTTTCAATTTGCCACCAAATAGATAGTCTATTGAGTGATCTGTAGGTCTAGTTTGTTGGTTTTTACCTTTTCCTTTTAGGTTGTTTGTTTTTGTATTTCTTTCCTTGTGAATGAGGATTCCTGCCTTATTCAAAAAAATAGGTAAAATTTTGTTTATGAAAAATGTTAAAATCAATTTTAGACCTCTCACTTTTAGATAAGATTCAGTTACGGCAATTATTTCTGAATTCGTCCCTGATAATAAGGTTAGTCTATGTTCTCTAATGGATCCCTTTGGGAAGTCAAAGGGAAGTATAAAATCAGAGGTGATGGAAGCAATATAGTTGTGGTCCAGGAGGCGTTTTAAAAGGGACCTTGTAATGGTCAAGATAAGGTAGAGAAGGGCAATTCTTTTGACGGTTTCACCTCTTTCAAAATTCACCCTGCCAAATCAGTAGCATACATTTAAAAAGTTGACAAATCTTTAGTTCCTTTGAGTACACCAAATCACTAACTTAACACCTGAAGTCCCATTCCAACAAGCAGCTCACAAACTTCTTCTGCCTTGTGGCAACTTACTAATAGACTCAAATGAATTCCTGAACAGCATCGATATAAGAAAAGTATTAAAAATGCAGTGTTTAACTAATAAATCATGGGGCAATTGCAACTTTTTATAGGTACATCATATATATTCACTTTTGGGAATGTAGGGGATCCAGATTACTGGAATCCCTACATTCATTCATTTACACCTTTAAGAGAGAATGACACAACAGAAACAAGACTGGGTTCAACTTCTAAGAAATAATTTGTTCTTTTCAAAATTTTTGGTGGCCTTTAGCTTGCTAAGTTTACTAATATGGTCACAATCATGTAGGTTGAGCAATTGGAGTAGGAGGTAGCTGAGATCTAGCAAGTCCTGGATGGAAAGAAAGAACAAGAAGCTTCCATGCTGCAAGATGTCGCTGCTCAGAAAAACAAGGCTCATGTGCTTGGAAGTTGTTCCTTTATAATGCTAGGGATTTGCTTATAAGAATTTTTGTGGTTTTGTGCAGTGGTAGCATTTTGATGTTTTAGAGCCTAAACTAGTGGCAACATTCCATGTAAAATAGATTTATTTTAAACTTAATGTAAGGTGTAAAACATGAACCATGTAAAAATGTGTTATTATTTAATGATAAATAAATTTATTGGTGTTCAATTGTTGTTTTTTATATTTTAAGTTAGTGTGATTAAGTTTTACATATAATAATAGTAACTATTGAGAATTTCCTTTGGTGTTTTCATAAAAAGTGAATAAATTTTTAAAATATTTATTTATATTTTCAGAATATCCTTTGGTGTTTTTATAAAAAAATAAGAAAATTTTAA